GACTCCTGAAAAACTTTTTCATTCCACGTCGCCCCATCAAGCTCTCGCTGGATCCGCTCATCTGCTATCAACGAGAGGAACGTCTGTACTTCCTCAACAGACAACGAAACATTTTTTGGTTGTTAAAAAAAGGTGCGCTTGTTCAAAACGGTTGTGTTCGATCCTTCGCTGGCTGTGCTGATTTAAATCGAGCAGGTTTGTTGTCTCGTGTCGCAAGTTCAGTGACGCAGGTGGTGACGATTCTCTCCGGCCAATCAGTGATCAGCAGAGTTTACGCGTCACGTTTTGGTAACGGGGTGGTCAACCGAGGTGGTACTGAAAAAAGTACCAGGTACTGTACCCAGTGGAAAACCCCCCAAAAGTGAACCGTATCGTGCTGTACCATGCAGTGGAAACGCGCCATTAGAGAGCCATTGTAAACCATAACAGAATCCATTGGCATGTTGTGTTCTACAATGCAAATTAGGGCTGTGCGATTAATCGAAATCGAATCAAAATCGCGATTTGAGACGTTGCGATTTCCTAATCGCAAACAGAAAGCGGGAGAGAGACGTCTACTGGGTCAGATCGATAGTTAGGCAAATTAAAACTAAAGAAAACCGTATGTAACTTAAGCTTCTAAATGACAGACAACGAACAAAAAAGGTAATTTCCAAGAGCTGCGTCACAGCAATCATTTAAATGTGAAGCTGTTCTTGGACACTGCAAACGAAAAAAAATAATAATAATACTACCACGCAAAAACGTTTGTTTATTTAATACAAACAGGTGTTTACTATTCTAGCCTACATCTTAAAATTCCAAGTGTCAGAACGCTAACATTATTAAAACCCCACATTTGAGAATTTAGTGGGAGTCTTGAAAATCATTTTATTCTCCCACATCCTGCACACACGAGTGTCCACCCGCACCCACCCATCAAGCCTTGCCCCGTGCCGCACTCTGTTGCGTCGGGTCTAGGGATAGGCATTCCAAGCAAAAATAATATTCAAAAATCGCTGGGTATTATTTGAAAATTGCACCCCTCCCCCGCAAGCATAAACACCCATGAACAGAGAGAGACGGGATTCACGCTTTCAATCTGTATGATAAACCGTTTAATTCAGAAGATAGGCTACCTTAACTCAAGCCATACAATGATTATAACGTACTGAGACTTATTAACATAACAGTCCATCGATTAGCATAAATCAACTGCTCATAAGGCTAGGACATTTCCATTTAAAAAAATGGAACTCCTAAAGGTAATAGATACGAGATGGGAGGAAAAATATACTTCAATATCTTCTGTCGCAATTATATCATGCATTCCAAGCAAAAATAATATTCGAAAATCGCTGGGTATTATTTGATTATTATTTGAAAATCGGACCCCTCCCCCGCATGCACGCACAAATACCCAAATACAAAAACAGAGAGACGGGATTCACGCTTTCAATCTGTATGATAAACCGTTTAATTCAGAAGATAGGCTACCTTAACTCAACGGGCAGTTATACTGTATATAAACTGCAGGCATCAGGGAGCCCTTATTAATATGCGGGGCATTTAAATCACTTATGAACGTGCACTTGTTTTTTACTTTCACTTTCGAGATTCGCGATCACACGTACGGAGCAACACTCGGCAGTGCTTACCACACATTTTACAAGATTAGATGTTTATCAGTGGTGCTCAGGATCTGCAAATCATTCGCCATCATCTTATCAGTCATCTCTCCTTACTCTGTTTATGTGGTAAGTGAAATGTTATGTACTGTAATGTAACCGGCTACCGCTAGTAAGCGGCTAAGCATGTCCCTTTAATCGCTCCGTAGAACGCGTTATTTGTTTTCCGCACCTTTCTGAATCAGCCACACCTCTAACCTAGTCGGGGGTGTTTGTGGTCCGCACAGAGCTCTTATTTGACATCGTCCCAAGTTACTGTAACCATTATATGCTATGCAAGTCTTTTTTTATGCCACGCAAGTCTACAGTGTGCGCGTGAGACAGTGTGTTCTTCTGTTGTCTTTGACAGCTTTTAGGTGTGTTATTGGCAGCACCATCCTCAGCTTACATGAACTTGTCACCACCGCATCAGCACGGAAAACATGGGGAAATTTTTAAAGACATTAATCGCAAAACCTATTAGATATTCTATAATTAAATCAACTAATCGAAAATCGTGACCCAACCCTAATATATATAGGCCTATAATTATAATTTAATACTTACAATGAACAGAGACGTGGTCTGCAGCCTGCAAAATCGTGCTTCTGTTTGAGCTAACAGAAGCTTAAACAGATATATGGGGTAAATATACGGGAATTAATTGGCAGTGAACCAGACAGTGAGTAGGTGTGTTCTACTTCAAGCGGCGCTACGCTGCCGATTAGCGTATGACGTCAGCGCGTGAGATGTTATACTCTGATCAGTCTGCTCTGTTGGGGGGGGCACAAGGTGGGGGCCAAGCATATTTTGTGGGGGGCCGGTGCCACCCCTCTAGACACGCCCCTGACAAAAATTAAAAAGTACTGTAAAGAAAACAATCCTAATAGTAAAACTTGACCTGACCCTTACTGTGAAACTGTTGTTAACTTTTCTTGTAGCAGCAGCATCTGATTGAGCTCATCCGTCTGCGGGAGACTGAGGCGGCGCTGGAGTTTGCGCAGTCACAGCTCGCCGAACAGGGAGAGGAGAGCAGAGAATGCCTTACTGAGATGGAGCGAACCCTGGCACTGCTCGCCTTCGACAACCCTGAAGAATCGCCGTTTGGAGACCTGCTCAACATGATGCAGAGGCAGAAGGTATGTGTGTTTATTTGTGTAGGACATAACCATCATAATGGATTAGTGATCTTTGTTTCCGTGACAGCTGATTCTCCTGTTTATGTGTAGTAAGTATGGGGCATTACTGTACCTGGTGTGAATTCTGGACTTATTCCTCCCTCCTTAATGCTGGGTTCTGTCTCCCTCTATAGGTGTGGAGCGAGGTGAACCAGGCTGTTCTAGACTATGAGAACAGAGAATCTACTCCAAAATTAGCAAAGCTGCTGAAGCTTTTACTGTGGGCTCAGAACGAACTGGACCAGAAAAAAGTGAAATACTCAAGAATGACAGACCTCAGCAAGGGCACCATTAAGGACCCCAAGTAGAGACTGTAATCCACATGGACACATTTGAATTTATTGTCTTATTTATGAACAGTCAGTGACTGGATAGCAAATATAAATCTATGTATAATGTTTTTTTTTTCTTGATGCCTCTATAAAAAGTAACTTAAGCAACAGTATATGATTATATTTCAAACAAAATTATACTGATTGAAAACTGTAAACCTACATTTTTATTGTAATCTACCATTTACTATGCTGGTAGCCTATTTTCTGAAGAACATGGAATATTCCTATGGTACTGTTTTTGCTCATTTTCAGTCTGTCATATCATATGGGTTTTGTAATTTGTATTTTATTTGATATTTTATTTCAACCTATTCACTGGTTTCACATACAGTAGTATGTCCTCATGCTTATATTAGGCTTTTTTTGAGGGAAATATTAGCTCCTGGATGGAAAGAAAAAGACTGATATAATAGAACTATCTTTATCATGGATCCAACAACTTCAACGGATCATTTTTTATTCATGAGAAGCTACAGATGCTGATAATGTGAGTAAACTGTGTTGAGTTTTAGACATTAATTTATATAAGCTATTTTAATTACAAAATAGCAAATATTGTCATTACAGTCTTAAAGCCTTATATTTATGATTTTTGTCTTTCATTTTTGTTCACATTTTGTACTGCTTGTTTGGGATAAAGTTGATTTCACAGTAGATTTTGTTTACTGGAGTTTTTCTGAATCAGGTTTTTTAAGGCCGAATCACCAGATTCCACAGAGATGACAGAGATTTAATACAGAATTATGTTGTATAATTACACATACAAGAATTACTACATAACTAGATAATAATCACCTTCAGTCCTTAAAGATGAATGCAAACCAGGATGAGTTGCTCTTCAAACGTTTAATGTAGGTGTGGCCTTTTTGTCACTGCGAGCTCTATAAATGCAGTAGTAAACCTTCCTGTTCGGCACAGAACCGGCTCTGTGTCCGGTTTCTACTCAGTTGGATTTAATGGCTGCTGAGCAAGAATCGGACCGCTTCCAAACACCTGTGGACTCTGTGAAAACACCTTTCAGAAACGTGTGTGACACGTCCGGGCTAAAGATAACGCAAATTAACGACAAGACAACAGTATGGCCAAGGTATGATAAAAAACCTGTTTATTAAAGGAGATTAGAAACAATGCTAAATGTCATAGTGTATTTGTGTGTAAACTGCATCAACTATAGTTTCTGTTGTAAACACGACTCACTGGGGCGCGTTAATCATTCTCGTATAATCAGCGGGAGTTGTCAGTGGACAGTGAAATTCACATCGCTTTCCTTCATACACCTTTCTTTAGTTTCGCTTCCTGACAATAGTTCCATGGAAATCGTCTTCTTTGTCTATTCGGTCCCTGATAGTTTCCTAACTCTGTGTGTGTGTGTGTGTATATATATATATATATATATA